TCTTTGTTTATCCTCTATAATTTTACTTTACCATAAGAGTCGAGTATAATATTAACTTTCAGTACATTCAGCAATGTGAAATTCATATCAAATGAAACCATCTAATTCAATGATAATGACATCACATATTCTATTTCTGCATTTTAAAAAGTATGGCTATTAACAAATGATATAAAACTTATGAAAAAAAAAAGACTAGACAATCAGTGAGCATATTATGCTTCATCTTTATGCCCAGAGGACACTTCCCTCAAAACATTCTTCAGACAAAAACTTCTTTAACCATTAAGCTCTAGAGCTTGAACCTATGAATCTGGCTCTCTTAATATTTGTACACAGCAGAAGTGACCCCACACCAAGCTTGGTACTTACGTCTGCAACGTCCACGGGCTGAAGGCATTGGCAGCGGGAAACAGAAAATCGTTAGTAATCACACACACGTCAACAAGGGACAACCACCACCGACATAAAGTCCACACAAGCAATGTAGAAGCCATCAATGATTTCTGATTACATGGACTGACATGTGGAAAAAACACACAAAAAAAAGAAAAAAAAAAAAGAAAGAAAAAAAAATAGAGCAAACACTACAAATTTACTAATAACAAATATAAGCAAAACACACAAAAGGAACAATGACTAATGTGAGAGCACTAAAAAGTGAGTAAAATAAAAATAAAATAAAAAACAAATGAAATTGACAATTACACAATACAGCATTAGCATAAAATCTCCAAAATGTGCATATGCTTGCTCGGTATCAAAAACTGTTCATATGTGCTCTATAATGTTGGATTAAAACAGGAACTAACCAATATCAAAACATCTTTATCTTATGAACATCATTAGCTAAAGCTCCAAAGAAGAGACACTACATTCTGTGGACCAATCAAATCAAACTTACAGACTGAATGCAGGAAAAGACTACACAGGCATTTAAAAGCCCTTCATGTGCACCTTTATGTTAGTATCCAGCTCACCTTATAGTGTTATCTTGACAAAGAAAGAAAGAAAAAAAGGTGGAGGGAGAGAGAGAGGGGGGGAAGCAAGCAGGAGGAAATGAGGGATGGACAAAAGGCTGGATGGAGGGAGGGAATGAGAAAGGTGGGGAGAGCAAGGGAAGGAGGGAGGAAGGAGAGGAAGGGAGAGAAAAGAGGGGGAGGGAGAGAAAGGAGGGAGGAAGGGAGAGGAAGGAGGGAGGGGGAGAGAGGAAGGGAGGGAGAGGAGAGGAAAGGTGAAGAAAGAGATTGGGAAGGATAGAGAGGCCTAGTGAAGGAGGGGGGGGGGGGAAGAAGAGAGAGAGAGAGAGAGAAGAGAGAGAGAGAGAGAGAGAGAGAGAGAGAGAGAGAGAGAGAGAGAGAGAGAGAGAGAGAGAGAGAGAGAGAGAGAGAAGAGAGAGAGAGAGAGAGAGAAGGGGGGGAGGGAGGGAGAGAGAGACAGAGAGAGAGAGAGAGAGAGAGAGAGAGAGAGAGAGAGAGAGAGAGAGAGAGAGAGAGAGAGAGAGAGAGAGAGAGAGAGAGAGAGAGAGAGAGAGAGAGAGAGGTGGAGTAAGAGTAGGAGACTTCAATACAGATATATAAAATCCCTATTCTAAAATGCAATTTAAACATTTCATTACTAATAAAACAAATAAATCATGCACTGAATATAATATTTATGGGAATCAGTCCGTAAAACTGAATATATACAGAGAGTAAACCTATCTTGTCCAAAAGAAGATCATCAACAACAACAAGAAACAAAAGAGTATATATATATATAACAACAGAAAAAAACTATGATTATGGTATTATCACATGCAAAAAAGAAAAAGAAAAAATCTAAGTAAATATGTGCATGTGTGTGAGTATGAGTGTGAGTCTGTATCCATGTATGTATCTATCAATCTACCTATATACCTACACAAACACACACACACACACACACACACACACACACACACACACACACACACACACACACACACACACACACACACACACACACACACACACACACACACACACATATATATAATGTAGATATAATGTATATATACATATATATATATTATATATACATATATATATATATATATATATATATATATATATATATATATATATATATATATATATTTATATATATATATATATCAGTATATATCAGTATATATCAGTATATATCAGTATATATACAGATATATATACACACTGTGTGAGTGTGAGTGTGCATGTGTGAGTGTGCGTGTGCGTGTGCATATGTTTGTATATGTATGTGTATGTGTGTATATGTTTGTGTATGTGTGTATATGTTTGTGTATGTGTGTATATGTTTGTGTATGTGTGTATATGTTTGTGTATGTGTATATGTTTGTGTATGTATATATGTTTGTGTATGTGTATACATGTATGTGTATGTGTACGAACACACACACACACACACACACACACACACACACACACACACACACACACACACACACACACACACACATATACATTTAAGTATATATATATACATACTTATATATACACATATATACATACATATGTGTATGTGTGTATGTATATATATATATATATATATATATATATATATATATATATATATATATATATATATATATATATATATATATATTTATGTGTGTGTGTGTGTGTGTGTGCACACACGCATGCACACACACATATATATTATATATGAATATACACCTAATATATATATTACTATATAAATAAAATAAAAAAAATATAGGATATTGAAGAGCGGACTGGGAAATTGATAAACAGATATAGACAGATTGTTATATACATATCCTCTAGAAAGGGAGATAGGTTTAATAATATGCATAATATGTCATCCACCATCCTAACTGAGAGTCCCAGACTGAGTATTGAGTCAAATCATACCTAGAAGGCAGGAGGGAGTGTGAGGGGATGAAGAGGAGAGGGAATGTAGGAAATTAATATAACTATTTTTCTTCAGGATAAGCTTGTGAATATTTTGGAGTGGATGTTCTACTTTAAGATGGATAGAAGATTTTGTAAAAGATAACAGATAGAAGGAAAACTTAGGTAGGTAAAAGAAAAAAAAGCATGAGACTATCAAAAACATTAACAACAATAATAATGATAAATCATAGCTCAAGCATCAGCTATTTGTCAGAGGCCACACAGAGGGAGGGACAGAGTGCACACTCACAGCATGGACGTCCTTGTTCTTGGCCCTTGCACGGTCAAGGTTTTTGTTGGCCTGTTCATAGTTGGCAAGGCATCGCAAACGGCGGTAGAGGAGGTCCTTGGCAGCACTCCCATCCCGCACATAGTAGCGAAGCGTATCAGATAACTTGAGATCTTCATCTGAGGCTACCCGGCCTTCCACTTTCTATCGGGAAACATGGGTGAGATGTTTGTAAATAAATCAGTTATCATGAAAGGTGTGTAATAGATAGTTTCCATTCAACTGATTTTCTTTAAGGCCAAATAACTGGCATTAATAAAGAGGACTTACCCTCGCTTTCTCAAAGGTGTCTGACACTTTGTTGATAAACTTTTCTAGTCTTGGGCCCTCAATCGTTCCCAACTGAGACAAGCCCGTGGACAGCTTGATGTATGAATCTGCAACACCTGCTGGGAAGGGGAGGTGAGGGAGGCAGGAGGGAAAGATGATGAAAAACAGTTTTTAAGTTGTTTTAATGCCAGCTGTCTTAAAGATAATGTCACACACATTCACTTTTGTTCTTTAAATGTCATTAAAAAAATTCACATCTAGAAAAAATACTCTTTTCACAAATAAATCACACTGTGAACAGTTACAAAAATTGTTCTTATGCCTAGCATCTGCTCACCACCATGATCAGTCTAACATGACAGCAGCTTATGAGACTGAAAATAAGCAGAAATTCCAGGTTTGCTTCTAAGGGGCTTTGGTAGGCATCTCTCCTTATTCCCCATTGTAATTTTTGTATTTTATTATGCTCATTTAAAACAGCTTTAAACCTTCCTTCCCTTTTTAACTCATTCATGCTGTGTAAAATCCTAGTAAAGTGCAGTATCATTTTTCTTTCTTTCTTTCTTTCTTGACAGACTCACACACAAACACCTAAACACACATACTTTTATGTGCCTGAGTCATTTTGTCAGCCTTAAGGGTGGAGTCCTTGATGGCTGCATGGTATTCCAGCAGGAATCCCTTCTCCTTCTCGAAATAGTCATCCACGTCCTTTTGCGTGGCCGCCAAGAGGATCTCATCCGTGGACTTGTTGATGCTCCTGAAGAGGCCTTCCACCTTCTCTTTCTTGTTCTTTGTTCTGACTGAGAGCTGTGGCAGGCAGAGAAAGAATGAGAGAGCGACCCTGTGAGACACTGAGAGGGGGGGAGAGGGAGAGGGAGGGAGAGAGAGGGAGAGGAAGAGGGAGGGAGGGAGGGAGGGAGGGAGGGAGAGGAGGAGGGAGAGAGGAAGGGAGAGAGGAAGGGAGAGGGAGAGGGAGGAAGGGAGGGAGGGAGGAAGGGAGGGAGGGAGGGAGGGAAGGAGGAAGGGAGGGAGAGAGAGGGAGAGAGAGGGAGAGAAAAAAAGAGAAAAAGAGAAAAAGAGAGAGAGGGAGAGAGGGAGAGAGAAAAAGGGAGAGAGAAAGAGGAAGAAGGAGGATAATCTGAAAAAAATCCTGAAATTTCTCATATTCAAATAACTACCCTTATAGATGATGCAATTTTGAAACGAAATGAATTAAAAATTCTGAGGAAATGTCATGCACTAAAAAATTGTTTTCTCTTGCTGCTTTAGTTTACATGAGCAGTCATATTGTCATGTCTTGAAGTATGACACACAAAATGGAAGCAATAAAAATTCTCCCAGAAGCATTTGGGTTAGTAGACTAACACAGGCAGCAACTTACATCGTGTTCATATTCGAGGAAAACTTTGAAGTTGTGATCGGTCCTGAAGATAGGGTGCTGTGCCAGTCTGGTAAGGAATACCTCGTGCATGGCCACTGTCTTCTTGAAGGTTGCCAGATATTCC